AGCTCCTTTAAGATCTTGCTTAGAAATCTCCTCAGCCAGACTGAGTCCAGCACAACTAGATGGTGCCTGGCTTCCACCATGGACTGCTCTGACAGGGATCACAATAGAGGGTCCTGGACAGAGCTGGAGAAAAATGTAGAACAAAGTTATAACTCTCTCTCTCTCTCTCTCTCTCACACACACACACACACACACACACACACAAGACCAGACTTACACACACACACATACACATAAAAGACCAGACTTACCAGTTTGACAGAGACTGGAGAAACCCTAAGAGTATGGCCCCTGGACACCCTTATAGCTCAGTAATGAAGTCACTCCTGAGGTTTACCCTTTAGCCAAAGATTAGACAGGCCCATAAAACAAAACAAGACAAATTGAGCACAGCAGCCCAGGGGCAAGGACGAGAAGGCAGGAGGGGACAGGAAAGCTGGTAATGGGGAACCCCAGGTCTAGAAGGGGAGAGGGTTGACATGTCGTGGGGTTGGCAACCAATGTCACAAAGCAATATGTGTATTAATTGTTTAATGAGAACTAGTTTGCTCTGTAAACCTTCATCTAAAGTACAATAAAAAAAAATTTTAAAAAAAGAAGAGAGAAGTCTCCTCAGCCAGATATCCAAGTTCATCACTTACAAGTTCTACCTTCCACCAAACATTTTAACATAATTCAGACAAGTTCTTTACCACTGCCTAAAAAACATCACCCTTCCTCCATTGTCCAATCACATGTTTATCATTTTCTTTTAAAACCTGGCCAGAAGCACATGTAACATCCACATTTCTAGTGATATTCTGTTACTGGTGCCATAAGTATTCTCTAAGATGATATAGACTTTCCCTACAGCTCTTCTCACTTCCTTTAGAGCCCTCATCAGAATAACCTTTGGTGTCCGTAATTCTACCAACAGTCTCTTCAGGAAATCTAGGCTTTTACTATTAGGTACCTTAAAGCTCTGCCAGCCTCTACCCGTTACCCAATTCCAAAACCACTTCCACATTTTAGGTATCTGTTACAGCAACACCCCCACTTCTTGGTACCAAATTCTGGTACCAGGAGTGGGGTATGAACCGACATCTCCATGTGTCTTGGCATTTATCTTACCCCATCTCTGCTCTGCTCACTTGTTCAATCTCTTTTATATCTCAAAAGAGATTGACTCAAGATATACCCCACACTAATCCTGCCTCATTAGCCTAATAAACACAACCCAAATGGGATTATAGCCACAGGCATAGAGGTTAGGATTTACAACACGTATTTTTACAGTGTGGTTCATTGTAACTCAAATATGTCATGAGTTGGGGTCTACCTGTATTAATTAAACTTGGTTTGAGGTAGATCACTGGAATAGGACTTTGGAATCTGAGCTGCAAATGGAAAAGATGCATGTGCTCCGTGGCTCTTGGTGTGCTTCTCTCTCAGCTTCCTTTCCTTGCTTATTTTGGGGAAGAGTGCCAACATGATAGTGCACCTTTGTCTTGATACCTCAGCTTCCTTACTGGCATTAGAGTGTTCTCTACTGCTGAAATACTTGCCATTCTCTCCACTACTGTTAGGATACTCATTTTTCATCCTCTCTGAAACCATATTCTAACCTCTTTTGTTTTCATCACTGTAGGGCATGCATACGGGTAATGTGTGGAGCCAAGTATGTATAGACTACCCGCTTATTCTCTGCCTAGATGACCCACAACTTGCATTTCTGCATGAGAGGACATTAATTCTATTTCTTAGACGTTGTCAAAAGCTGCCATGGTAATAAATCCATTCCCAGGCTTTCAAATCTTGTTCACAGGGTGTAACAAAACTGTGGCCTTTGAATCTGACATTTGAATGCACTTGTTATTTTACCTGGTGTCCCTTTCTTCCAGCTGTTGTTTTAATTATTATAGAATGCCAGACGAATTTCATTTTATGTGTTGAGGCTGAGAGTTATAGGTACTATTATTATGCCCTGTTTACAGATAAGAAGATGAAGGCACAAGTAGGTTAACTAACTTCCCTAAGGCTATAAAGTTAGTAAGTGACAGAACAGGATTTAAACCTTAGCTGTCTGACTCTACAGTCTATGCTTATAACTGCTTCACTTAACTGCCTGTTCATATTAGTGCTATATGAGAGTTATAGGCAGTAGGTATTGCAATAGGTTCACAGTAGGGGCACTAGACTTAGAGTTTATGGAAGAGTGAGTTTTTTTTAGCTGGATCTTGAAATATGGGATTGGTTTGAGTATGTGGAGAGGAGAGAACATTCCAAGGAGCACAGAATGAGCAAAGATTCAGAAATAGGAGGAAAAAGAGAATGTTCAGGGGAGATAATGAAGATATTGGATTGACTCTACAGAAATATTAAGCAACAAATGGACTTGGTTAGTACTGAAGGTTTATCCATTAAAACTTCACTGAAAAAAATTCCGAGCATTCTCATCTCAGAGTCCTCAAATTGGGTTCTTTAAAACAAAACAAAACAAAACACTGCTAATCTTATCTCATTCACTAGGTACACTGATTGAGTTTTCAGATGGCAGTACATTAGTAAGGAAATAATGGAATAAAATGCTCAGTCTTTATTATTATAGAGCTTTTTAGTATTTTCCCTTTTCTTGAACTAGTTCTGCTCACACCAGCATAAATATGATTAGTTTATCTTGTGGTGAAATTGGTCTAGCAGGAGAAATGGATGTACATATGTTGAAATTCTGCCAGCTTTCAAAAGAAAAATGTTATTTTAAGCATTCTGGTCATTTTAGGTGGAGTGAAGGACTTGCCATGAAGTTGTCATTGGCAGGTTTGTAGACCGCTAAACGTGGCTTCATTATTTACAAAGACCACATGCACGTATACCCAGAAAGCAGAAATAATGTGAAGACATGTAACTCTATCAAAGAAATGTCATGCTTGCACAGCCTAGTAAAAATAAAAATCTTGATTGTGATGGGAAGCTGATTCCTAGCCTATACTTGGAACTGAAGAAATCGGCACTCTCCTGTGTGTTTTGTAACTAATTCACCACCCAAGCTTGAAATATACATAAAATTTAAAAATCACCCATCAGCATATATTCATTTGTCATATTTACATATTAAAAGAGGTTTGGAGAGGGACATCAAAGCACAGGAACTGAAGAAGGATGGGAGGTAGAGAGTTGGTAGAGTCGGCCAAATGGGAATTTCTTTGTGGAATTCTTTGTTGTGACTTGTATGGATAAGCTGCTTGTAATGACATAAATAATTTTGAAGCTTATTTCTTTTTCTAGAATAGAGAAGCAAACTCCTTTATAACTTTTCTATATAAGACTCTGGCTTTGTAGTTCTCTAATAACTTTTTTGAAATCATCAAAATTAGCATCAAATATTTTTATAAGCTAAACTGTTATCAGTATAATGCCATTTTATATAGTGCCTTATTGTTCAGAAATATAATTTGTACCATAGGTTTCTCTGGGCTTTTTAATCCTAGGCCTCTAGCTATTTGGGAATAGGAGTTATTCCTAAAATATATGCAGGGTTTTATTTTATCTGTGAGGAGTCCTGGTGGCACAGTGGTTAAGTGCTCAGCTGCTAACTCAAAGGTTGGTGGTTTGAACCCATCAGCTGCTGCATGGGAGAAGGATGTGGCAGCCTGCTTAAAGATTACAGCCTTGGCATTTCTACTCTGTCCTGTAGGGTCCCTATGAATTGGAGTCGGCTTGTCCACACACAGCAACACTATGTTGATTTTAGTTACATGTTTTTGCACATGCTTACAAGGTCCTGTGTTGCTACTTTGTAAAACTATGTTGAAAATACAGTAAAACCTGTGAAAGCCGGTACCTGTGTAAGGTGGAAACCTGTCAAAGAAGGAAAACTTAAATATTTTCCACTAGAACAAGCTATAGAAAATTGGTGATTGCACCCTGTCAAAGGCAGAAAGCTTGTGAAACCCAGAAAAACCAGGCAGTCCCGTCTCTCACAGGTTTCACTGTATTTTCTTCTTGATAAAATGAGTAGAACAGTAGCAAAACCCAAATCCTAATGACGCTTACATGTTCCTTTGTATTAAAAGGCTAAAACTAAGGGTTTCTAAATATATTCTTTGAAAAAACCATTTGAAATGTATCTAAAGAATATGTTTTTGTTCTAAATCTTTTAATTTGTGAAAGAGATTCAAATTGTGATTGATTTTAAGTTTTGTTTTTAAGTTTATAGGATGAACCTGTAAACTTTCTCATCTGGGATTTACTGTTTCTCGTTTCCTAACCTTAAAGTTTCATTTCTCTGTTAATTTCTTCTTGGGCAGAATGTATTAGCTTATGATTCCAGATATAGCACAATCTTGTATGACCTTGTGTAGGTTACCACAGTTAACCATCTGAGCCTTAGGCTTTTGCTACTATACAATGAGGTTATTTATTATTTAGTATGTTGTCATTTCCAGCGTGTTAGAGCCTCTCAATGCATATACATAAGCATATGCCCTGCGTTTGCGGGCTTCCAATCCAGAAAAACAAATAATATACAGACCCATACATTGAAGTGTGAGGTAAGAGGGCTAAGAGATGAAGATTACTGGAAAAGAAATTGAAAATGCTAGCTTTGTAATTATGAACCATACATACCCCATGCCGGTTGCCGTAGAGTCAGTTCCGGCCCAGAGCGAAACTGCCCCATAGGATTTCCAAGGTTTTAATTGTTTCAGAAAGAGTCTGCCACATCTTTCTTCCTCATAGTGGCTGGTGAGTTTCAACCTCTGACTTCTCGGTTAGCAGCTGAGCCCTTAACCACTACGCACCAGGGCTCGTTTGAACTATACATAGCTCTGTGTATATTTTCTGTATATATTTCCCAGCTTAAACAAACTAAATAGAATAGAAAGAGGATTGAACTAGAGTTAATTTTATCCAACGCTACAAAGTTGTCATGAACATTTATGAAGAAAAATGCAATGGAGTTATTTTATTAAAAAGGCATTAAATCTTATTTGATAATGTCTCTTTTCTTCTTTCCTTTGCAGAGTATATATGTAACTGCTCTAGGGTCGGAAGCCTGGATGTGAATCGCTGCAATCAGACCACAGGGCAGTGTGAGTGTCATCCAGGTTATCAGGGGCTTCGCTGTGAAACCTGCCAGGAGGGCTTTTACCTGAATCACACTTACAGCTCTGGGCTCTGTCTGCCATGTGATTGTAGTCCAGATGGAGCCCTCAGCATACTCTGCAACAGGTAAGCAGCAGAGAGTGGAGATGAAGTGAATTTTATTCCAACAACAACAACAACAACAACAACAACAAAACTCTCAAGGATCAGACTAATTTAAATAAAGAGGGACCATTTAAAAAAAAAACCCATTGCCATCTAGTGGATTCCGACTCATACCGACCCTGTAGGACAGAGTAGAACTGCCCCATAGGGTTTCCAAGGCTGTAATCTTTACAGAAGCAGGCTGCCACATCTTTCTCCCACGGAGCAGATGGTGGGTTGAAGCCACTGACCTTTTGGTTAGCAACCGAGCACTTAACCACTGTGCCACCAAGGCTCCTTTATAGTTCTAAAGGATTTATCAAAATATGTTTAAAACCTATTTATTTTTCTGAGTTTCAAACCAGCAAAAATGCTTTTTACTTTTCTATAGTTCTTATTGTCTTTAGTGTTCTCTTACGATATTCAGAATGTGATTTTCAGATGTAGACTACTTCTTTGGAGAATATTAAATGGTTTAAAGTCAGATAAAAATAATATTACAAGGCTTCCTATTAAGATGAAGGAAACCTGGTGGCACAGCGATCAAGCGCTTGGCTGCTAACTGAAAGGTCGGTAGATCAAGCCCAGCAGCTGCTTATGGGAGAAATATGTGGCAGTTGGCTCCCGTAAAGATTACAGCCTTGGAAACCCCACTGGTCTTTAAATTCTGATGTCTTGGGCAGTTCTACTCTGTCCTGTGGGGTTGCTATGAGTCAGAATCAACTGGACAGCAATGGATTGTTGTTTTTTCTGTTAAGATGGTACACTAACATTGAGTACTCTCTCCCTCCCTTGAAATCCATTCTGGAGAAATTATTTAAGAGAAATGGATGGATGGAGTTGAGGAACTCTCAACACAAAGTATAAGAAGCCTCTGGAAAGACAAAAAACTGTCTGCAACTGCTGTGTGTACCTGGGAGTAAGAAGGGAGGATGGAAGGGAGGTACCTACAGACTGGGTGAAGGGCTGATAGTGGGGGCAGAGAGAGGATAGGTTGGAAAAAAGCCTTTAAACTCTGTTGTCTTAGGATAATCATTGCCTGCACCTTCACATCAGAAATCAACAGCATAGTCAGGCCACATGGATCCAGCATGTCATGAAAGCTAAAAGCCCTAATGAGGAGAAAAACAGACAGAGCTAGAGATGACAACCCAGAGAGACTGCCTCCTGCCTATGCTGCTTCTTCCTATGATTTAAAGGCAAATCTCTGACCAGAGGATTAATATGAACTGCAAAGATGGTATTAAACCAGATTCTATGGATCCTGGGTTTTATCCCCTTCTGTCTTCTTAAATCTGTTGGGAGGGACACAGACTAGAGCCTAGTCCTCAGCCTTTCCGTCAAACACTGCAGTGTCCCAGATACTCCAGGGGAAAATGAGCTTATAGACCAAAATAATTAACCACCTGAGGAGTAACCACAATTAAAGGAAGACAGCAAACATCTTCCATCTGAGCAAAATTACCGCATAGACTGACCAAGTATACGCGTGGCAAATAAACTTAAAAAAATAAGGAATTAAAAAATATGAAGTGAGAAGAAGAAATTTTTTATATTTTAATAAAGTATAATTAATATACAATAAATTGCACATATTTAAAGTGTTCAATTTGATGAGTTTTGACATAAGCATACACCAGTGAAACCATGATCAAAATCAAAATAACAAACATCTCCACCACCCCCCAAAATTTCCTACTGCCCCTTGTAATCCATCCTTCCCTCCAATTGCATCTCCAGGCAACCACTGTTCTGCTTTATGTCTCTATACCAAAGACAAACCAAACCCATTGCTGTCGAGTCGATTCCAACTCATAGCTATAGGTTAGTTACATATATAGACTTTTTATTTAAATAGAATCATATCGTTTGTATTCTTTTATTTGGCTTCTTTCACTTGGCATAATACTTTTGAAGTTCATCCATGTTATTGCGTGCACTGATAGCTTTTTCCTTTTTATTCTGACTAGTATTCCATTGTATGGATTTTTTTTTATCCATTTACCTGTTAATGGACATTAGTGTTTTCAGTTCTGGGGCTATTACAAATAAAACAGCTATAAACAAACATCTATGTACAAGTCTTTGTGTAGATGCATATTTTCATTTCTCTTGGGTGAAAACTTAGGAATGGAATGACTGGGTCATATGGTAGATGTTGGTTAAACATTGTAAGAAACTATTATTTTCCTATGGCTGCTGTAAAAACGTTACCACGAATTTAGTGTCTTAAAACAACATGCATTTATTATCTTACAGTTCTGGAGAGCAGAAGTTGGAAATGGGTCTCACTGGGCTAAAATCAAGGTGTTGGCAAGGCTGCATTCTTTCTAGAGGCTCTAGGGGAGAACCCATTTCCTTACCTGTTGCAGCTTCTAGAGGCCACCTGGATTCCAGGGCTCGTGGTCCCCTTCCATCTTCAAAGCCAGCAATCACATCACTCTGACCTCTGCTCCTGTCATCACTTCTCCTTCTCTGACTCTTCTGCCTCCCTCTTTCCCTTATAAGGATGCTTATGATTATGCTTGGATAATTCAGGATAATCTCCCCAAGACCCTTAACTTAATCACATCAAAGTCCTTTTTGCCATGTAAGGTAACATATTCACAGGTTCCAGGGATTAGGACAGGGGCTTTTTTTTTTCCCCCTGGGGAGGGAGAATTATTCTGCCTACCACTCTGCCATACCTTTTTCTGAAGTGTTTGTACCATTTTGCATTCCCATCAGCAGAGTATGGGACCTCTGGCTGCTCCACATCCTTGCCAATACTTGGTTTGGTTAGTCTTGTTAATTTTAGTCATCCTATTGGGTGTGTAGAGGCAGCTCGTGATTTTAATTTGTGTTTCCTGATGACTAATGCTTTTGAGCATCTTCTCATGTTCTTATTAACCATTCCTATATCTTCTTTTATGATGGGCCTTTTCCAATATTTTGACCCTCTTTGAATTAAGTTGTCTTTTTTATTATTGGCTTATGAGAATACCTGATATATTCTCATACATGTCCATAAGGGAACATGCATGAGGGTGTTTATTGTAGTGTTTCATGGCGGCAGGGAGTTGGAGATATCACCCCTTTGGAGGCACCAAAAGGGGCAGTGTCCACAGCAGTCCAGGGACAAGGGCCAGAAGGCAGAAGGGGACAGGAAAGCTGGTGATAGGGAACCCAAGGTTGAGTAAGGATAGTGTTGATGTGTTGTGAGGTAGTTAACCATTGTCATAGGGCAACATGTGTATGAACTGTTAAATGAGAAACTATTTGTTCTGTAAGCCCTCACCTGAAGTACAATAAACAATTTTAAAAAAAAAAATCAAATTAAAAAAAAAAAAAAGGGGCAGTGCCCAGAGAGACCATCCTTGGCGGGATGCAGAGAGGGGTGGCACCTGGAGAGACAACATAGTGGGGAGGGGGAAAGGGGCACCTAGAGGGGTGGTTCCCAGAGAGACTACCCCTGGGGGATGCTGAGAGGGGCTGTGCCTGGAGAGACAATGTCTCAGGTTTAGGGGCACCAAGAGGGGGCAGAGCCCAGAGAGACCACGTCTTGGGGCACTAAGAAGACAGCTGACCTTCGATCTTCCGTAGACTACCCTCCCACTTACCCCCCCATTACCAAGCAACGACTGGGGCAGAGCTGGAGAAGCTAGAGGGAGCCCTGTCAAAGAGACCCAGCACCCAGGTCCATGCTGTTCCGGAGAGTCCTAGTTCCCATAAGGAGAGCTTTCACCTCCCTTACCTGGAGCTTGGGGCCTACCTTTTTTTTTCTCTGATCCTAGTGATTTCATGCCCTAGTGGCACAGTGTTTAAGAGCTTGGCTGCTAACCGAATGGTCAGCAGTTTGAATCCACCCGATGCTCCTTGGAAACCCCATGGGGCAGTTCTACTCTGTCCCATTGAGTCACTATGAGTCGCAATCTGTTTGGTTTTTGGTTTTTGGTAATTTCACGCAGGTACTGGAGGAAAACTTTGTGGCGCACGAATTCTCATGAAGGCTTGAGTGACCTCCATTATAGGGAAGCCGTGTGATGGATGGGGAATCTCTGGCTTTAGAGTCCGACAGAGTTGTGTTTTCTATTGACTGTCTTGATCTAGCCACTTGGCCTTGGGCAACTTTAGCTGCCTAAGCCTCAGCTCTCCAAATATTAATCAGGGGTAATACATTAGATGAGATCTGTAGAGAATGCCTGGCACGTAGTTTGTTGTTGTTGTTGTTAGGTGCCGCCAAGTCAATTCTGACTCATAGTGACCCTGAGCACAATAGAACGAAACACTACCCGGTCCCTGTGCCATATTTGCAGTCCTTTCTGTTTGAGCCCATTGTTGCAGCCACTGTGTCTGTCCATCTCTTTGAGAGTTTCCTCTTTTTTGCTGACCCTCTGCTTTACCAAGCATGGTGTCCTTCTCCAGCAACTGGTCCTTCCTGATAACATATCCAAAATACGTAAGAGAAGTCTCACTATCCTCACTTCTAAGGAGCATTCTGGCTGGACTTCTTCCAAGACAGATTTGTTTGTTCTTCTGGCAGTCCATGGTATATTAAATATTCTTTGCCAGCACCGTAATTCAAATGCATCAATTCTTCTTCCATCTACCTTATTCATTGTCCAGCTTTCGAAAGGGCCTGGATTTGAAACAGATAGCTTCCTTGCTCCTTATTGCCCTTTCCCAAGTGTTCTCCCTTCCTCCTTCCTAAAAAGCCCCACCTTTGGAGCTCGTGGCAGCAGCCTATACTGTTACACTTCCTTGTTGCCATTCCCACTCTTAGGCATTACCCGTTATTTCTAAACATGACTATTAATCTGACACTATACCAGTCATGATTCTGTATGATTTTAACATCCATAAATGATCCTAACAAGACTTGGGCCTCTCAGCTTCTTGACCTCTCTTCAAATAAGTTTTCCTCTACCCTACTTCCAATCTTTACTTTCCCCTATTTCTTGGTTGTCTTTGGCCTCAAATATAGGCATATTAAAATTTTTAGA